GGCTTGTTTAACTGACTCTGTGACTTTCTCCTACCCTTTGACCTCGGCTCGTTTCACGTTATTCTGTCTTCTGGTTCCCCTTACTCGGCTTGTTTTCTGACTATTCTGTGTGTGCTTAGCCCGGCCACTCTAAGGTCCGGTACAGCACCTTTTGTGTGTGTGTGTGCCAGCGTGTTGGGTTCCCCGAATCGTGACACTCACTGGGTGAAGATGGATTATTTTTTTTTTGCGCTCGTTTTTTTTTTGTTTTTTTTAATTGCGTCGGTTATTATGGTTTTTTATTTGGCCTTTTTTGGGGCTGAAAAAAGAAGATTTAGAAGAAAGAAAACATCGAATGGTAAGTTGTTTTTTTTTCATTTTACAGGTACTTAGTTAAAGGTGCCCCCCCTTATTATTTTTAGGGTGAGGGGGGTAGGTAGGGGGATTATGTTTTTTTTTGGGGGGAGGGGGTGACTAGGGGTTTGGGGACCCCTAGTCATCTGGGGGGTGGGGGGGAAATTTTTTTTAGGGCCCCCACCCGCCGCTCAGGGGTGGGGGCCATGGGGGGAGGACCATAGGTCCACCCCTTTTTAGTATTTAGGGCCCCCACCCGCCGCTCAGGGGTGGGGGCCAGGGGGGAGGACCTTAGGTCCCCCCCTTATTCCAATTTAGGGCCCCCACCCACCGCCCAGGGGTGGGGGCTAGGGGGGAGGACATTAGGTCCCCCCCTTCTTAGTATTTAGGGCCCCCACCCACCACTCAGGGATGGGGGCCGGGGGGGACAGAAGTTCCCCCCCTATTGTTTTTTTTAGGGCCCCACCCACCGCAAAGGGGTGTGGGCCGCGGGGAAGACAGTAGGTCCCCCCCCATATCATTGAGTTAACTTTGACAACCCCCCCCCCCCGCGCGGCGGGTGGGGGGGTTGTCAAAGTTAACTCAATGATATGGAATAGGCGGCGGACCGAACATCGCATATGTTCGCCCGCCGTGGCGAACGCGAACATGCGATGTTCGCCGGGAACTGTCCGCCGGCGAACTGTTCGGGACATCTCTACTGGCAATCAGTCTTCTCCAATGCCCAGTGGCGAGGCTGGTTCCGCCACAAGCGGAGACAGCTCACTGTATGGGGGGAGATAGATAGGGAAGACAGCTCTGTGGCGAAAGTGACATCGCCACTGGCTTTTGGAGGGGCCTGTTTGCCAATCTCCTGCCCTGCGACTATGGCCCTGGGATGTATTGCCCTTCTAGGAACTGATTTGGGCATAATTGATTTTTATATTGCTGTTTCTGGCCCTTTAATCCCAGAGAAAGGATTTGTATTTTTAAACTGACACTTCGGATGCAGTCGAAGTGCCGAAGTTGTCGAAGTGGCCGCCATTCGAAAACCGAACACGTGGCGGCGACCATTTTAACTCATTCGAACGCGGTCAGCGGTGTATGCAGCCAAATCTATGGAACTGTTTTCGGCTAACCAATTGCACGAACACCGCTGACCCGTACCTTCTACTCTACTTCGACACTGCGACTGGAGACTAAGTCCCGTTTGAAGATTCGAACGCTCGTTCAAATGGGACTTGTAGCGGATGGCACTATGGCTGTCCTTAAAAGACTATGAGAATCCTGCAATTCGTGTGTTAATTCTGTTTTGTAATTCCCTGTAACTAGCATTCGTATGTTTGTTCGGTAGTTTCCATATGTATTTCATACGAATGGAAACTACCGAACTAATAGACCTCCCCAGAGTGAAGTTTGTTCCCAATTAAGTGTCGAACATGTGTTAACCGCAGACTAATAGGTGATTTATTGCTGTATCTGGGTGGCCATCTTAGGCACGAAAGACTCGGCGGTGTTTGGTCGTCGAGTGTCTGGAACTCAAATCGGACACTCGATTACCTGAACACCACTGACACCTCCAGAGCTCCATAACTCCTGAACGGGAAGACAAATCAGCCCCCTGTTCGGTGAGTTTGGTGTACTGAACAAGGGCATTCAGGCGAATGACAGTTTATTCATGGATGGCATGTATTTCAATGTATTTTACCTCCCGAACGGAGACCGACTGCAGGGCCAAAACGCATGGAACTCATTTCGCATACTACCTCGTGTGCGGTCGGTCAAATTTCACCCACCACCTAACTCCCGAATCCATGGTCCGATTTGGGTAAATTTTGGATATGTTAGTCACCCAGATCATGGCTACCAGGGGGTACCCAAAGTATGGGTGTACCTGCTAATCTTGGGGTACATCCAGAACTTGGTGAAAACTGTAACCTGTATAATGGGATTAGGTGTCATACTAAGGGGAGGAGAGGTGTAAGAGGAAACTGCTATTTCATTGGGTATTCACTGTATTAATGAATGTGAATCCCTCCCTTGCATGGGAGAAATGCTTAAAAGGAGGTTGTGTGGAATAAACATCAGTTCTGCTCCTGATGCTGTGTGTCGTTCAGTCATTGGGATCTGTATGGGCATATTCTTGGATTGCTTTGCTTATTGGAATTAGTGCTTCCTGGGATTTTTCATCACTTGTTCCTGAGCCTCACTGGGATCTTAGTGGAGTTAACCTGTGAAATACCAGGTCTCCGCTTACAGTCATTTTCTCAGTGTAAAATAGACCAACCGCACAGCCCAAATCCATGGAACTATTTTGGGCATAAAAATGTGCTTGCGGTCGGTCAAAAGTGACATATCTATCTCCCGAACGGCTGAACGGATTCAAATGATGTTTGGGTATGTTTGTATTTGAAATGTGCTGATTAATAATATGTGACTTTTATTAATGTTGGCTGTATAGTTTTAGAGTTATGAAAGTTGGGTAAAATGTATGTTTTAAACTGTACGGCTAATTGTGTTACCTCTCAGGCTAAGGGGAGGAGATGTGTGGGATGTAACCATTGTGTGATTGGGGAATGTATAATTGTCTGTGGGCGTCTCCCTTGCATGGGAGAATTGCATAAAAGCAGAGTGTGTGTCATTAAATCAGAGTTCTTCTTCACCCTCAATCTAGAGTCCTGTCTCTTATTGGGGGAATTGCTATATCACTACAAGGGATTGCTATGCTCTGCATGCTCCCTTGGATAATCACTTCTAAGCTCTTTTAAGAGCCTGTTCCTGTCTTGCTCTCGGAAGGAGTCTGCGGTGGTTGTGGTGTCTGCGGACTGCTTGGAGCCCTCTGTAAGCGCTAGGAGCATCCTTCAACGGAGGTACCCAGTCGGGGTGCCAGGTGATCCGTTACAGTAAATTCGGCTGAAATACCAATTTAGGTCTTTCAGCCTTTTAGTAGATAGCTCCCTAATACCGTGGGAATTAGGGAGTTATCTACTTATTCATTCCTGTCATTACATTGTTTGGCCAAGTAACTTACATTTTATATGAACGTGTGTTACTTGATTGTTGTAAGTGTTGCAAATGCTAACAGCTGAATCCTGGCCACGTTTGTATACTTTTTATTTAAAATTGTATACAGTGTAACATTCTTCTTCTTCCACTGGCTAAGTATATTAGTACTTAGGCAATACTGTGCTTCGGGACCTCGGTACTTCGGCTATTCGGAAGTACCTGAATGTCCGAATTGCCCGAAATTCTTCTGAATTCATATTCGGCCCGAAACGAATTGCACATGTCTAATAAATTTTCTTTATCCATTGAAGTCCTTGGAGCCTCTGGGAATCTTTACAGGGAAGTGCCATCCCTTCATACTGGCACATCGCTGACCACCCTCAGAGCCAGGAATTTAAGGCTCTCAACTAGGTAAGCATAACATGTACCATCTATATATTATCT